ACAAGATATTATATTGTTAAAAAAGATTCAGATCTTATCTCATCATGGTTAAAACTTAATACTAGTCACATTCAAGTTAAAAAATACATAGTTATATTTCTTCAAAGATTTTTCTTTTGATTTATAGCTATTCAAACATTCAAGATCATGTGCTAATACAGTAATACTCAATTTAAGTTTCTTATATACACAAATTATTAAACAAGTTATAAAATACTAAGTTTTAAAAATTTAACAATAAAAATTGTTATGTACTTATAATGGCTTTACAGTTTACCAATAGAATTTATCACGTTAAACAAAAATTGTTCTCCGGAGTATGCACTGGTTAAATATCAAGAAGTTATAAGTTTTACTTAGCTTGGCAAGATCATGGGAGCATCAGGATCACTCAAATGTCCTCAGGGATGAAGCAGGACTTGCTGTCATCACGTGAACACGTCACTTTTTTGCTCAAGGAAGCTTCACAGGCTCATATATATATATATTTCCAAGGAGATTCCAATCAGGATCAAGTAAATGTGACTATTACTGTTATTTATTAGCCAAATTAATGGACCTAGAACCAATTACATATTTTTCTATAATTCAATAAAAAACTAACTGGACCTACAGCCTAACGAATCAAATGTATTGAACTTACCCGTTAATCCGGGGAGAAATATTAAGTATATAATGCACTGACTACCACTGCTAGTCTTAATGCTATTTTCTAAGTATGGTCTTCAAGGATCTATCAGCCAAAAGAGAGCGAATCTGTTTGTGCACTGCTATTTATAGGCTACTACAACACGTGACAGCGTCATTGCAAATTTCTCTCATATCACCATATTTGGTATGAGGAAGCACACGGACCGGTTTTGCTGACTCCGCCTTTCAATGTTTCCAGAACATTAATGTGACGTCACATCCATTTCCGCATCTCATTCAAAAGAAATTGCACACTAGCTCCCTCTAACTTACATTCCAAATGCAACTACTAGGTTCACACATATATTGTACTTGTCCATTGCTTTTCAAAGTGGATTTCGATATTGAATAATTTATATGCATGATGATAGATGGCGCTGAATAAATAATAATATTTCTACGACTTAATATTTAAGAATTATATTGCTAAGTTTTTAACGTTATTAAATTTAATTGCTACAAGATTAAAACAAAAAGGGAAGATACGGTTCGCTCATACTAGCATCAAATAAAATGTGATCCGATTCAAATACATAAGCAACTCTCACACACGCACACGTCCGTATTCAATCGAGCGAGCGAGACAGAACTGTGCGCTTCAAAGCAGCGAGCGCGAGCGAATCTTATTGTTGTCCTTTTCTTGATAACAAAATGGCGATTACGTACAAATCATGCACCGTGATTTTTGAGAAAAAAATGTTTTTACAGTTTTACGAATGAAAAGTGTTGCCGAGGCATTTATTATTTGACTTTGAACTATTTGTGTTCTTTATAAAAGCATCGAAGGCATTGTTTTATCTTTATAACATAGAATATACGTAATACTGTTATATTGAGTGCACATGCAGCGTGTTTGAATGTCCAATTGTGACTACAGCGAATTATGGTCATGCACCACAATTTAAGAGGATCACTTTTGAGATGCGAGTGTCTCCGTATCTTCCCTTTTTGTTTCAATCTAAGCCTTTTGGTGGTGTTTTGTTTCTATCGGTGAGTAAGGTTCCAGGGTTCCGCGGGGTAGCGGATTCGGTGCGTGTGATATTTTTGGAATTCCCCCAGAATTTTCTAACAAATGGTTGCATCACTTTCAGTCTCAGCGTGCTCCTTATGTAAATTCTTTAGACATATTATAACAATAATGATTTAATAATATTGATAAACACTGTGTACATTTGTAATTAACAAACAATCCTTTCTATGTTTTGAACTTCTTACTCTTACTGTTTATACAAGTCTATATTACCTACCTTATATTATGTAAATGAACAACAAACAGACTAAGTCCGTGGCAGGTCCGGCCATGTGGACTAGAAGAGAGCTTATTGTTGATTCGTATTGCCAATGCCACTTCAATGCGTTATTCAATTTAAGCGATACCATTTCTTACTATTTATTGAGGAATTAGTATTATTGAGAATGTTATGTATGAGTGGGTCACAAACTTATATTTACTACTTAGGTACTTACTTTATATACTAACAACTTTGAAATTTGTGTTTTTTTTAAGTAAATGACTTAGCTTTTCGGCTATCGGTTTTAAATTGAAGCTGTTAAGGCTAAACTGTACTTCCAGGGCCCAAGCGGTAATACTTCACACTAGGTTAGGTTAGGTTAGTGTTGTGACCATAACGCGCAAGTCGAGCGAGCAAAGCGAGCGTGCCTCGGAAGCGGCCGGCTAAGCGCCAGAAAAAATAAAATAAAAGAGACCTTTTCTACAAAAAAATATCAAGTATCACCTCTTGGGCCCTGGCAGTACAGTTTTGCCGCTATTAAATTAAATTAATTATAAAGCCTACTTGGATGTAGTATTTTCTTGAACTTCTTTGTTTTATGTAAGTATGTGTATAATTACTACAACCGTGAAAATTTTCCTACATCATAAAACAACCTTTGAGCTAGGGTAGCAGCGGAAAAATATTTGACATTATCACACATAAAACGGTAACTAATGATGACGTATAAGGGTATAGTTTTGGGTGAGATATTTGGTCTAACAGTCGCACTTTTGAATGATTTTTTTGAAGATTGATTGAAACTGTCTTTCTTTGTTGCATTAGAATGATAACAACAAACATACGAGTCGTTATCAGTGATGCCCACTGATTACGACTATAGGTTACCTTTCACATTCAACAAAGCGAAGTGAAATATGGTATAAATAAAGCATAATATTTGTCTTCGATGTACATACAACATGTACTTTTACACTCCCGGACACCTAAATCGAGCCACCTTGATTTTTTTTTTGGTTTGGAGTACTGTAACTTATTAAAGATGTATGTAGAAGGAAAATGTTTTGATGCAGTTTTGGAGCTGGTATACTCATCATTCATTTGGAGTGCCACTGTTCTAAATTTGAACTACAGTTTATTAAAAAAGTTGAGTTACGTTGAAACAAGTCCATATTTGCTTTTTTGAAGGAAAAAATCTAATCAATTTTTAAATAAAGACATGTTTTACATGAAAAGAAATGTTTATTTAGTAACTTGTATTGCCTCCCAGTGCATTTATGACAGCTCTCATACGGTTTGGCATAGAATTAATCAATGTCGTTATGACATGTTGAATAATGTCCTCCCATTCTTCCAAAATTACATTTTTGAGCTCCTGCATGGTTTGCGGGGCAGGATGATGAGCTCGAACACGCCTCTTCAGCTCATCCCAAAGATGCTCTATAGGATTCATATCAGGACTTCGCGCTGGCCATCTCATAACAGTAATACCAATGTCATTTAAGTACTCCCTGACGATTCCCGCAGTATGGGCCCTTGTATTAAAACGAAATCTTGGCCAATAAATCCAGCATATGGCATCACGTGGCTCTCTAAACATTGGCGAATGTATTTATTGCCATCTAGGGGCGGCAGTCGTGGTCTCGTCACTACCTCTAGCTCAGTTTTGCCTTCCATAGAGATTCCTCCCCAGACTGTCCATGATCCTCCACCATAACTCCCTTTCTCGTCAATATAGCATTGCGCGAAACGCTCGTTCTGTCTTCGGTACACCTTACTCCTTCCGTCATTACCGTATAGCATTATCTTGGACTCATCTGTGAAGAGAACCTGGCTCCATTGATGTCGAGTCCAATTTAGATGTTCGCGCGCAAACTCTAGACGGGCTATTCGGTATGCTTGTGTCAATTTGGGTCCATTGGCTGGCTTATGGGGCTTTAAACCACGTTCATTGAGTCGCCTTCTAACGGTCCGAGCACTTACAGCCACTCCGTGAAAGTCCCTGAGCTGTTCTTGTATCTGAACAGAGTTAAGGCGTCGATTTCGTAAGCTAGTAGTGACAATGTATTGATCTTGTCTCGCCGTTGTCACTCGGTAACGAGGTCCTGCTGTTCGCCGAACGAAGCCGCCAGTCTCCAGGTATCGGTGGTACACTCTTTGAACAGCGGAACGACTTATATGAAGTTGTGAACTCACATCTCGCTGACTTAGCCCAGATTGAAGAATTGCTACAGCTTGCGCGGCTACTTCAGGTGAAGTATCCATAATTTTATAGCCAAAAACGGTTCAAATTATAGAAAAATAACTAAACTAAACTTTGGTTAACAGCAATTGCGAAAATTCAAACCAAACCGACATTAAATTGCTTCAAAAGCAACTTTCAACAGTCATTATTTTTTTCAAATCATTGACCAAGCTCGGCTTTTGTTCTTTATTTTAAATTCTAAAATTCAAATTTGGAATAATACATACGGGAAAGACGATGAAATATGCCAGCATTAAAAATGCATAAAAACTCTTTTGTTATATTGTATATTTTTTGTGTATTGGGCTTTTAGGCCCGGGAATGTAAGGTGGCTCGATTCAAGAGTCCGGGAGTGTATTTCTCACAGAATATTTTATTTGTAGAGCAATCAAGGTTATGTAATGTAATATTTTTGTATAACTGTCATAGAACTGTACCCTTAGCACGAACCAATATCGAATTCGTAACGTTTGGGAGTCCAAAATGTCATTGTCAAATGTGTACTGATTTTTAGTTCTCATTACGTACTTTGTGCCGCTGCTGTTTTGACATTGACATTTCGGTTTGCAAACTGGTAAAAAACGTGGTACTGTACGTACTATTTAAGCGTACGCACAATTAAAACGTAGCAATGTAACATAATTATTGTAAGAATATTATTTTCCTACAATAGGTAAACTACTTTTAAGGGGATTACTCGGTGAAGCCCCATGTATGCGTTCGTGACCCGTTTGCGGCGGACGGCGCATGCTTATATGCTTCATGTTGTCTGCAAGTTAACTTCGGTTAATTTAATAATATGGTACTTGTAGTAATGGTAATCTTTTACCAAGGGCAAAGTGTGGCAGTCCGCGGTATCGGTTTGGCGAGACACGATCGGGCGATTCGTAACCGCTCCCGGAGAAGTGACAGTGGGTATGAGTGAGGTTCCTGAAGTAGTGGTGGAAGGGTGTAATGGTGTGGATGATGTCGAGGACAATGATGTACTTCATCAGAACGGAGATGAGGGGTGAGTCCAGTCTCATTGGTTTTCGTTGGTGGTAAAAATAGATAGATATATTGCTACCATAGTTCCCATTTGAAAACATTACTTCACATACTCTGGCTGTATTATTGTAAAATGTTTGAATCCATAACCCGTATTTCGTAATAGCCAACATCTGATCCATTAATAATGATCGCAAACAAAAAGATAAAGTGCAGTTCACGGCTAAAAGTGATGTAACAACATTTGAATTGGAATTTTTCTATTTTGTAGATTGGCCATTGACCCCAAACTCGGCTGCCGGGTTCGTTTTCCGAGTGACGTCATACGAGAAACGTGAGTTGACGATCGCACTTGACGGCTGCAAGCGAACGCGCCTGTGACGTCACTGTCTGTCCCGGCCATTCATTTAGCTATGGCGTAGTTCAACCCGCGCAACTCTTCTTACATCATTCGTATACGCTTAATAACACATTTTGTTTTTAATAACATGCTGTAATATAGAAGATAACAAAATAATTTGATGCCCATTTTTTACCGCTATTGTTACCATCTTATATAAATTACCTGGTACGATTTTTAGTTTGGTTTGTTTTTTTTGTTTATTGTATGTCAATGTATACACGACTACCACGTACTTACAATAATTGACTCACACGAAACATAATTTTGGTGAATGGTCACTAAGTAACAAATAAAACATCCACTTTTCGCTTTATATATATAGCAATGTGTCTATGCTCATTCATTGTTTGAATTATAATGTCGAATATTTTTTGAATATGTTACAGGCAATCTGTATAATCCTATAATATATGTTAATTAGGTATTCTATGCCGAATGCGCAGTCGGCAATGTGTGTAAAAGAAGAAACTGAGTCGACTTTTTTTGTTTTATTTATCAATTATCCATCAGGTATCTGTCGTTTAGCCGACCGCTGCCGCGGCACGCTCACTTTCTCGGATCGCGCTGAGTTTAGAACCTAACCTAACTCACTGTGAGTTGGACAAACGTTCATTGGTTTGTAGTTCATTCAGTGAGAATTATAAAATCCGTCCTTCATTTTATATCTCACTGGATAGGCTAGCTTAGGTTGGGATAGGATAAATACAAGCCAAAATATGTTTCTAGTACACATTGCCGGTGGAAGAGCAGGTAATCTACACAATCCATAGAAAATGTATACATTGCCTAGGCAAAGCATTAAAAGGTAAATAATATTTCATACATTGCCTATGCGCCCCAGGCATTCTATAAATTGGCTAGGCATTGTAAAGAATACCTGATTTATACAAATTGCCGGATATACACTAAATAAACATTGCGTTGTGTTTTTTTTGTGAACTCAAATATTTGAGCTCCTACTATTTGGGAGATTGTGTCGTCATCATTAGTCTGTTAATTACCTGACAGGCTCTAAGTGATATTTTTTAGGGGTCTATCTTGTATGCATAACAGCGAATGGCATCAACTTCAGTTTAGCCGACATTCAAACGCCTAATTTTGTAAGCCAGAATCATCTTTACGCAAAAATATCCACAATGATTAAAAAGCAGTACCATCATATCCCAGCAAGTCCACACAGCCAGAATCATCTTACAACGTCTAGAAATATTTAACATTTCCTTGTTTTATTTTAATTATATATCAGGTGGCTGGCTAAGCTACAAATAAACTCTCGCTTTGCTCGCTCGGCTCTCACTAAGTTTAGGCCACCACACTAATCTATACTAACCCACTGACTTCGAACACCGATTATGCACAATAGTAGTGGAGCCCAAGCGGAGATTTTGGGATTTACTCGAGCGTGGAAGAATAACATAAACAGGGGCAACTTTGCACCTTGTGAAGTACAACCACCATACCTGTGCTTTTTATAAAGGGTCGAACGTCAGCCAGCAAATAAGAACATTTTTACATCCGGGCATGATTTTTGGTCATGTCCAAATCGTCAGTCTTTTGCATAGAAGCTATTGGAGGGTACACGTTATATCCTTTCTCAATGTCTGACGCTTTCAATCATGCAAAGCCGCAGATTAATATTTTTCCGTCTTCAGAAACGTTTCGTGAACCCTCTAGTAGTAAGTATGTACGTCATAGCCGACTGTTGAATTTTGTTTTGCTGTCGTTCGATCCTACATTAAGACTTCACGTATGGTGAGAGTACTTCACAAGGTGCAAGATATAATATTATTCTGCCGTGCTCGAGTAAATCCCAAAAAACCCGCTTAAATCCTCTACTATAATTAAATAAAATTTTACCAAATGAAATTCTGCCATCTTAAAAGTATGCAAAATGATAAAATAAATAAAATAGTTTAAATCAGATCATGCCAAGTGTGTTATGCCAATGAATTTCGGAGCAAAAAGATTTCGGTTCTAGTATGACAGGCTCCCTAGTTTGGTTTATTCCTCGGTCGAGGGGATGGGTAGAACTATACGATAATTAAATCAGTGCTACAGGGCCTCCCAACTGATCTTTCAGTGGCAGCAGCATGAAAAAGGCCTCCAAAAATTTGGTATTAAGTAACATCGACCGCCTGAAAAAACCAATGCTTATCTAAAAGATCATCAATATCTGTATAAAAAAAAACACTACTGCGTTTACCAAATAGTAGAAAATTGGTTGCTGAAGCGATCGAAGGTCGCTCTCCACGCAGCTGTCTTTGGTGTATTAAATCAGTTTTGTCAGCAACCACCCGCTTCCTTTTGATTTATACTGATTGAATACGGTATGCAAGTAACATTAAATATTTATAGTTATTTTTTTAGGCATTCAACTGCTAGATGTTTGAATCTAAAGACAATTTTACTATAAAAAATTCAACGCGGACCAGGCTGCAGACGGGACTCGTACCCACACCCTTCGCTATCCGGGCGAATTCACTGACCATTATGCTACCGCGGCCCTGATGGCCGTGTCGAATTTTCTCGAGCCTTTCTAAGTCTGCAATACAGCGCCATCTCTTCGCATTGTAGATAACCCCCAATGTCAAATGAAATATTAAACATTTGAAAGAAGAAATAGCAATTATATTATTGCAAAATAGAAAACATAAATATTTATGACCAATATGATATTCGAATAACTTACGGTGTTTATTCATTTAATGATTTTTTTACAGGTAAGTACTCTACGAGGAATCTTGCTAGACATACATGATACAGAAGAGGAATAATATAGAAATTTTATCAGACTATCAAAGTAAGTATATTTTATTTTGCTCATAAGTAAATTATATGATAATATTTTTGTTGAGGTTAGTAAATATTTTAATTATAGGTACATAAGCGAATCTGAAGTAAAGAATTTATTCTACTTGTTTTTAATTTTTTTAGAGATGGTGGGATTGGTAGTATAGCTTTATTGACAAAAAGTTCAAGATAATGTTCCTCATCATCATGTTAAAGTTCAACATGATGATGATTTTAAGTACTGATAGCAGTTTATTAGAGAAAAAATACTCATTTTTTACCTAAGTAGGTATGTATATAAGTACCACGTACTCACATTATAAATGTGAAAGTTTTTGCATGTTTGTAACAAATAAACTCAAAAACTACTCGATCGATTTCCATAATTATGTCACCATTTGTTACCTAGTAAGTATTTTGTTTATTATTGAAATACTTTCTGCACGAAATAATTAATGTTTTGAAATTTCGTAGGGTTTACATTAAACCAAACATTTTTAATTAACTGATTTTGGTTGCAAATGTGCGGAAAATTAAATTCTTACTCGATCCCTAACAGACGCGGTTACACAACCAAAAAAGTCAAATAACAGCTTACTTCAGAAATTTTACTTGAAAAGTTTCAACCCATTAAAAAGTACCTATTTGCATAATTTATGAGCACAACGGGATTTTTTGTGAAACAAGTAGAAGAACCAAGCTTCGACAAAGATTCTAAGAAATGGATTATGTAGGTATGTATTTAATAACGCCTATGGGGAACAAACTTTGTAAGATTTATATATAATTGAATACCTGTTTATTCTTAAAGTAAGTATAATTTATACCTATTTGGCTCGAGATTTGTTAATATATAAGTTTTATACGTATGTAGATGTCATTGGGGATTTTATCCTTAAGTATCATATTCCTTTCATTCATACGGGTTTCAATGCTTAAGTTTCTAATCCCATGTTGACAAAAATACAGAAAGCTGTCAGATGTATTTTTCCCGTGCATATTTCAAGCGTATAAATTATTGAGAGGGTATATTTAATATTGTTGTATTCTGGCAAATTGATTGCCAGTGTGCCAATAGTGATCACAACATTTTTAGAACAATGTCATAGACTCATCATCATCATGTCAGCCGTATGACGCCCACTGCTGAGCATAGGCCTCCCCCAAGGATCTCCACACCGATCGGTCCTGTGCCACTCGCATCCATCGGCATGTCATAGACTCAAACCAAGCCAAATCTGTAGGCCTATTTGCTAACAGGTTTTGACAGATGTACTCGTAAGTGATGTAAGTGGTTATTATAACGCCATGTGAAGATACTTGTCATGAAAAGCATCGAGGGATATGCAATTTTCGTTACAGTTAAACACTGTAAATGTCAAAAACCTAACTAGACTAACTGGTGCTATTACGTAACTTACTTACTTACTGCTGCGGCGCAACGATCCAAAGTGGATCTTGGCCTCCGACACAAGATGACGCCATGCTCTGCGATCTCGGGCTAGGTCCCGCCAGCCGTCGGCACCCAAAGACTGCAAGTCCCTCTGCACCTCGTCGCTCCAGCGATATCTGGGACGTCCAACGGGCCGTCGTCCTATCGGTCGCCCCAAATACGCCCTTGTCACGGCTCGATCCTCTCCCATTGTCTCTACATGCGCGAGCCAACGAAGTCTAGCTGCTTTAATTTCTCCTATGATGTTGGGCTCCTGCTGCTATTAGGTAAGGTCATGGCAATTATGTTTATGCATACGGCAAAGCTAGTGGGTAAATGTTGGAGGTGAGATGTTGGAATGTCGATACGTTAAAATGCTGCTGGCATTATCGGTCAACAAAAAAATGGTTGCAAAGTCACAAACCATTATCACCATCATTCGATTGCTCTCACTAAACTGATGCTGGCTCCCACACAACCCACCATAATCCAAAGGCGGCCATTCATGCGGATTTGTTGGTCATTCCCACCAGTTAAGTTACACGAGTAAAGAAGGCACAAAGACAAAGGCTCATACAATAGGGATGATGACGGGGTAAATTAGACGAAAGTAGTATAGCCAGAGTCGACAACAGTGTTTAGGTAATCACATGCATGTGTCCTGCCGTTGTGTTTATAGTTTGTTATAATAATGTACACTGGTACCACC